CGGCTCCGCGCGGAGATGACGGCCGCCGCGGACATCCACCAGCAGTCCGACCTCATCCAGAACCTCCTGCGCGACGCCCAGAAAACCAGCGAGAACATCAACAAGGACATCGAGACCCTCAAGCGGAGCCTGTTCAAGGCGAACCAAGAGCTCCACGTCGCGCGGGAGCGGCAGAACCACACCCTCGCCGAGATCTCCGGCGCGCAGGTGCAGGGCAAGAATCTGAACTACCGCATGAACCAGCTCGACAACGAGGCCTTCTCCCAGCAGACGATCCTGTACGGCATCGAGTTCAACGTCCAGCAGATGGAGAAGAAGGTCCAGCGAGTCAAGGGCGAGCACACCGACGAGGAGCGCCGCGAGCTCGAGGGGAAGATCCAGCTGCTGCAGTCCACGCTGGACGAGCTGGACCAGCAGCACCGCGTCCTCGACGTGCAGGTGAAGCGCGTCCGCGAGGAGCTCCGGCAGTCCAACCTGGCGGCCGACAAACTCACCAAAACCAAAACGCAGCTCCGCGAGCGGGTCACCCGGTTCGAGCTGGAGTGCGGGCACTGCGAGCAGGAGGCGCGGGCGCTCGAGCGGGCCCTGGAGGACGGCCTGATCAACTTCGACACCATCCACCTGCAGCTCAAGCGCGCCAAGCGCGCGCTCGGGCGCCGCGCCGAGGCCCTCTTCGACGTCCAGGAGAAGAAGCACCAGCTCGAGGCGGACATCGCGGAGAGCCTGGCGACGATCGCCGCGCACCACGACGGCCTCCGCATGGCCCACAAAATCGCCGAGGAGGAGCGCCGCCGCCTGGCGGCGGACCACCAAACCCGCGCGAAGGCCCTCGCCGCCCTGCGCCATCGCCACGCGGTGGCCGTCGGGCACATCGACCCCGCCCACGCCCGGCTCACGCAGGCCCAGCTCGTCCTCGACGCCGCGAAGGAGCGCGAGGGCCTGCAGCAGCGCGGCGACGGCCTCGACGCCCGGGTCCGCCGCACCGAGAAGGAGCTCCTCAAGCTCGAAAAGGCCATCGCCGTCCTCAAAGGCAGCAACGCCGACTACAAACACAAACTCGATGTCGTCAAGGACGGCGACGACGAGCTCCGCACGAAAACAACGCTGATGGCGAAGCTGCGCGAGCTGAAGTCGCTCATGAGCGGCCGCCTGCTCCGCGCGAACGACTACCAGGCCACGCTGGAGGTCAAACAAAGCGACCTCCAGCGCCTCGCGGTCGACCTGGCGAAGACCCGCCACGCCGTGGAGGAGCTCCGCCAGGACTGCGATCGCGCCGCCGCGGCGGTTTTAAACGCCCGGGAGGAGGTCATCCGCTGCGAGCAGGCCATCGCCAAGGCCAAAAACGTCGTCGACCCGGTCGTGATTCGCAATATCGAGCTCGCGGAAACAAGCGAGCGGCTCGGCCACGCGGTGCGGTATTTAATGCACTGCTCCCGCGGCGCAGGGAAGGAGGTCTACGCCGCCGTCCGCCAGATGATCCTCGATTTCCACATCCCCCTCGACTCCGCCAGCGTGGAGGCCTGACCTAGACCAGACAATCCGATGTAGAATAACCCGCAGCAAGGCGTATTTTCCACTACTCCGACGACGCCTACGCCTAAGGATGATAGGAATAAACCCCTTCGCTTCTTTGTATATTATCGTGGTAGTAGTAGTAGTATTATTATCATCGCGAAGCGTGTTCTTGTTGTAGAGTCGGTGGGTACTCGAACTGTCGTTTCTCTATTCCTGTAATGCGTCCGATGCGTAGGGGTGGTGGTGCTATTATTCCTATTAATAGTCGTATTAGTGGTATTGGGATTACGATTACTGTTGCTATTACAATTCTTGTTATTATTTTTATCATTAGAATTATGATGATGATGATGATGATGGTGGTGGTGGTGTTTTGTATTTCACCCTGACATGCGTCTGTTTTTTTTTTGGCTAAATCATCACAATCCTCCGATATCCCCCCCCTTTTTTGTGTGTGTGTTTTTATATCTTTTAGCAGACTTAGGGCTCGCCATGGACTTTTAACGCCCCGAAAGGCGATTAATGGAGGCGCGCAGGCGGTGGATTCCCCCCGTCCCCTCCCACCTCGGGGATATTCTTCAGGCAGCCCCGATGCCGCCCTCTGAATTCGCGAGCGGGGGGGGGCGTGGAGAAGGGCAGCTTTTTAGCTTCGAGGCCGCGTCCAATCAACGACATTCACCGAACGGCAGGGCTTTGCGGTGGGTGGGACTCTCGTGGTGGTGGTTTTTATTGTGAGCAGTTCTCTAAGCGACTTTACGTTTCGCCGGAGACATTTTTAAAAGCGAAAAGTCCTCCCCGATCTGACTGTGTTGAGGAGGCACGGGTTCAAATGTTTTATTTTATTTATTCTCATCCCAATCATGACAATCCCATAAATTTACTTATCGGCTTGAAATGCCAATTCAGGTTTTTATTTTTTTGATTACGATTCAAGAACTTTAATACGTTACATCATTTATTTTGAAAAGCCATTTTCACGCACTCTAAAAACGCATAGCCGAGTTTCAATTTCGGCTAAACTTTAATTTTCATTTCTTTAGTTTTATACGCGCTTTGCTTGCGACGATGTCGGATGACGAGATTGAGCTTCTCGACCGGTACGTTCTCGCGCCGGACAAGGAAAAGTTCTTTGCCTCGGTGAGCCACGGCTCCGACGCCTTTGAAAACCTGCAGCTGCTTTACCACGTCAATCGCGATGGCCTCAAGCTGCCCGCGGCCTCGAAAAAGGCCCTGGAGCGGCGGCTGAAGGACCCGTCCGGGCCCAAACCGCCCGCGTGTTTTGTGTACGACTTTCTCCTGCTCGAGAACGAGCGCGACGCCGCGAAGCGGGCGGTGCTGATGCAGGCGTTCAACCAAAAATACCTCAAAAAGTCCTTCGCGATCCCGCGGCCCGCCGCGGTGGACCCTGGCACGGCGTGGCTGTCCAAAATGGGGCCTTCGGGCCCCTCCGAGCTGAGGTGCGATCGCTTTAGCCTCGAGGAATGCGAGAAAAGTCTGCGGCCGGGCCGCGGGCGATCCGTCCGGGACCTCCACCCGCACTTTTACCACCGCCTGGACTGGCGGGCCCTGCTCGCGGCGGCCGGGCGGGATTTGAGCGATTTTCAGTGGGTCTTGGACTCGCTGCCCAGCTTCACCCACTTCGCCGACGTCGGGGCGGTGTTGGGGGCCTGCGAGGCCGCGGCCCGGCGGCTTTACGGCTCCGAGAGCTTCGCCCTCCCCCTCAATGCGGCGATCTACGAGAAGATGACGGCCGAACAAATGGCCCAGGTCCAGCGCGCGCTCCCGCGGCTCCGCCAGGACCGCGATTTCGTCGCCGCGAACTTCCGCAAAGTCTTCGACCGCGAGCGTTTCGACCTCCGCGGCGGGCCCGACGTCGCCTCGTCGGCGGATCGGAGGGGGGAGTCCGGAATATTAAAACGAATGGACGCGTGGGCCGCCGATCTCCCCCCGACGCCGCCCCTGCGCGCGTTCGCCGCGCAGATTCTCCGCGCGCGGATGGAGGCCGACCTACGCCGCGACGCGGTGGACGAGGGGGGCTTTCTTCGCTATTTGGCGAACCCGCTGCGGTGGGAACAGGCGGTCTACGGCGCCCGGCCGGCCCCCCAAAACCCCGGCGACGATGTTTTTTGGTTCGCCGTCCACCGCCTCGATCGCGGCGCCTGGCAGGCGGAGCGGGCCTTCGTCTCGCAGGCCCTCGCGGTGTTGTTCGCGCGGGGCGTCGAGCCCGGCCGGTTCGCCCCGTTCGTCGACCCGGCCTTTCTGCAAACGCACTTTTATCAGACGCGATTGTTGGCGGGGCGGCCGCTGCCGGACGCCGCGGGGCTGCTCGGCGAGCCCGCGCTCGCGGCGCTGCGCGAGGCGAAGCAGCTCCGCTTCGCGGGGTGGAATCGCCGGCGGTTTCGCCCCGGCGACGCCGTGGACCTCGAGCTTATCGTCAAGAACATCGCCGTCGTCGCCGTCAGCGTCTTCGCGATCGACACCGCGGAGTACTACCGCACAAATCGCGCGGCGATCCGCGAGGATATCGATTTGACGGGCCTCCTTCCGAATCAAAGCTTCGAGCGCGCCCTGACGGCGGACCCGCTGAGGCTGCAGACGGTTCTGTTCCAAAATGTTTTCACGGCGACGCGCGGGGTTTTCGTGGTGGATTTCGTCGGGGACGGCCTCCACAGCCGCGCGCTGATTCGCGTGGGGGGCCTCGCCGTCGTCCGGCAGCTTCTCAGCAAAGGCGTTCTACTCCACCTCGTGGACGAGCAAAAGAACATCTGCCGGGGCGGCGACACCGCCGTGATTGTGGACGATCGCGCGTTGAAGCCCGCGGAGATATTCCACGGGGGGATTCTCCTCCCGTTCGGCGAGGCCCCGGCGGCGAAGACGGTGGTGCTCCTGCACGACGGCTTCGCCGAGCTCCACGAGCTTCTCATCCCCGGCGAGGCCGTGGGGTTGGCCTGTTCTTTTGTGTTCGATGAGGAGGCCCTCACGCGAACAGGCCCGATGGCGGTGATTTTGCTGCCGAAGTTGACGGTGAACGGGGCGAAAGTCGGGCTCGTGAGCCTGAAGAACATCAACTTAACGATCACCGCCACGAGCACGTCCGGGGTGGACAGCCGGACCACCTACGAGGGGCTGGCCATCGACCCAACCGGCAAAGGCCTGGTCCTGGAGTACGTCGTGAGGGCGAAAACGGAAACTCTGACGATGGCGTTGAGGGCCGAGTTCTTCTCCACGGCGAGAGGGAAGTCCATCGACCTCGCCTGCGAGGAGCGAGTCGGGGTGAACCGGTTTCTCGGGCAGAGCGCCCTTCACGACCTGTATCTCTCGCCCTGCGGGGAGAAGGACCTGAAGCTGCTGGTTCTCGGCAAAAACGGCGAGCCGTGCCCCCACAAGCGGGTGAAAATCGACCTCGAGTCGAGGTATCTCGCGGCCAAGGCCCAACCGTCGGAGGTCCTCGAGACCGACGACGCGGGCGAGGTCCTTTTGACCGACGCCATCCCCCACATCGCGGGCCTTCGCGCGGCCCTGGTCGACGCCCCGGACGGCCCAGGGCGGGCGCTGGCCTGCCGTTTAACGAATGTGGACCGCCTGACGTTCCTCCCCCGGGCCTTTCACATTTTGGAAAAGGATCCATTGCGCTTTCCCGCCCCCTCGCGGCCTTTTGTCGTGAGCGACTACGAACTGGTGAAGGTCTCCCGCGAGGACGACGGCTGCGTGATTGCGGACTGCTCGGCGCAGGTGAGGTCGGTGGGGGGGATGGTCGCGCTGGGGGGGCTCGCGGCGGGCGTTTATCGCTTTTCCTACCGCCCCGAGGGCCTGTCCGTCCGCATCGCCGTCCACGCCGGGCCCCGCTGGGCCGCCTCGACGCGGGACTTCGTCGAGGAGGAAAAGCGCCTGGTCAAACTCTCCGATCCCGGCCCATGTTTATCCCACGCGGACGTCAAAGTCCAGGACGGCGTGGTGGACTTCCAGGTGGTGAGTTCGGACCTGAATGCGGTGGAGGTGCACGCCCTCGCCTTTGTATATTTCCCCCGCGGCCTCCCCGCGATTCGCGACGCCCTGGCGAGGCTGCAGGGGGAAGAAGAAGAGGAGGAATACCCGATTCCCGAGCCGACGTGCGCGTATTTGTCCGACCAACCCCTGCCCGATGAGGTGAAATACGTGTTGGAGCGCCGGCGAAGGCGCCGCGTCGTCTGCAGCACCCTCGAGAAG